GAACGTGGAATTTTAATTAGCCACGTTATTTTCAACATCAAGTTAAATTGTTGATTAAGCAGGTAATTTTTAAGTTAAGTTAAATCTTTAGCTAGGTAGGCCATCGTTCAACATTAAGTTAAATCTTTAGCTAGGTAGGCCATCGTTCAACATTAAGTTAAATCTTTAGCTAGGTAGGCCATCGTTCAACATTAAGTTAAATCTTTAGCTAGGTAGGCCATCGTTCAACATTAAGTTAAATTCTTAATTAAGTAGGTGTTGTGAACCTCGTTGAGAAGATATATAGAGACTGTTCTTTTTTGTTGATGTTTAGTTGAACTTTATTCGTGATCTTCGCTTTTTGTGAAGTGCAAATTCATCGATCAGGGTGCCTAAATGGTGGCGACAACCCTCTCCGTGCGCCCACAGTGCATTTCTTCGAAGAAGGGGATGCCTGTGGGTTTTTCCGGGTGACCGCTTTTGGGGGAACGAATTTGTTAATGCAAAATTGTCAGCCCCGAAAGCGGTACCGTTTTATGACCAGACAAATCTACCGCGGGCGCGAACAATGACGTTCGCGTGGCGCATGGTAGTCCAAAAGGGGAGTCTGGTCGGCCGAAGTGAAGTTCGGCACCTCGGTCTGGCGGCCAAAGGTGACTAAAGATTTTTATGGCTATAATCCGCCAGACCGAGGAGAGCTCACGTGAAATTGCGTGCCACGCAACAGTAGGCAATTTTTAAGTTAAGTTAAATCTTTAGTTAGGTAGGCCATCGTTCTACATTAAGTTAGATTCTTAGTTAGGTAGGCGATTCTTAATTTAAGTTAAATCATTAGACAGGCAGGTGATGTTCTACATTAAGTTAGATTCTTAGTTAGGTAGGCGATTCTTAATTTAAGTTAAATCATTAGACAGGCAGGCGAATCTTAATTTAAATTAAATCATTAGTCAGGTAGGCGATTTTTAAGTTAAGTAAGAATTTTACTTAAACAGGATAATATTTAAGATTTTAATATTTAAGTAGGCAAGTTTGTAATGATAATTCAGTGCTCGAGTTACATCTTATATAAGACGGCAGCTCTCAGATTGTGAACATTGTAATCTTCTTCCTTTCGTTAGTTATCTGTAAACAATTTTGAATAGAAACACCTGATTTTTCTGTGTCGTTTTTGTGGGACGTATTTGTTTATATTTTCTTCTTTTGTGTTTCAAATATTTCACGAGTCATATTCCTACTTCGCATATTCTTGTGTAGTGATGAAAATACAGAGTAATGATACATGCATCGATTAATTAAGGCTTTCATCAGTCCTAGTTTAAGTCAGGTTTAGGGTAACTCCTAGTTTAAGTCGAATGTTAGTGAGGTTATACTGTAAACTAGGCGTAAGATAAGTTTAAGCTAAACTTAAAGTACTTTAAGTTTAAATTAATAGGATACTTTTAACGTTTTTTTTTTTGTATTTTTTTCTTTCTTTTTCTCGTCGACTTTTTTTTTTAGTTAAAACTTTTTCAGTCTCCTGCTATTGTCCGTCTGCATAACGATCAAAAATTCGAACGTATTGCAGATGTACAATCGGTAGGAGGTGTTGCGTTGCTTTAATGAATAAAAAAAGAATAGTATTCGCGCGAAAGGAGGGTGGATGGGACCGCGTGGTTAGGGCGGGCCTCCATTCGCAGCAACCTCCACGTGGTGAGGCCTGGGCAATCGATATTATTTGATATATAATTATTACAAATATATAGCAAATAATACGAGCAAATCGGCTGCTATATTAAAAGATTGTAGTTTAGTTTAATACATATGTATCGATACCTAACATCAAATTTACACAGTACTTAAAGATGAATTATAGTAAATGTAGTAGTAGGTCGAAAGATCGTCGATAATTCTAGTCATGGAATCCAATATATGTATGTATCTTTATATTCCGATTTAACAAAAGAGGATCTTTTACATCTGTCGACATTTTCTTCTTGCCGCAGCCACTTCGACACGAACTGTTAGACGGTTGAGATTGAAATGATTTTCGCGCATCTCACTTGCGCATCTCACTTGCGCATCTCACTTGCGCATCTCACTTGCGCATCTCACTTGCGCATCGTACGCCATTTCACATAGAACCACTGCTGCTATGCTTTATGTTACTTCTAGGGATTCTGCAAAGATCGTTGCACTTTAGTGTACATTATGATAAATTCAAAAATACTTGATATATGTTCATATTATAATATTGAAAATAAAGGACAATGATGAAAAAATTAATAGTTTGTTACGCTTTATGATCCAATAGAAAGTTTCCTAGAGGTCTACTACGTAGCGTAATGAAGCTTTCTTAAAGTCATTAAAATTTTTCTCCTGGTTATTATTTCGATAGTAGAAGCTAGGGAATTTATGCAATGTTTCTAAGGCTATATTCCTTAAGCAAGAATGCATGCACTTTTTTTAACGAAATAAACCACAAGTAACAAAAATAGACTTACGTCAAGTTCCGACTGTAGGTTATCAGTATTGATATGTATGAAACATTTGGTAATATCGATAATCATCGATGATTAAACTTAAAAGAACCCCAATGGATAAATCTAAGCGTACTTCCATAAGAGAGGTGAACCCATGCATGCGTTTTAAAAGCTGTCATTAAGTATTAGTATTTATTTCTTACTGTTTTTAAATAATTGATCTTATACCTTTTCAGAATCTTGTAATTTATAAAAATGGGGTACACAATGTTTAACTTTTATCAAAATTGTTTTTAACAGAAAGTTACAGAATATTTTAACAACTTGTAAGTAAACATTATATTGTAATATACCTTCTGTTTTATAAAAGTAATGTTTCAATACTTTAAAGTCTTTATGAAATAACATCATCTATTAATAAGAACATGTTTTAACTCAAACTAATAGATTTTGTAGGATGATGAGGTTGAACTTTAAGACAGTATTACTCATAATAGTAGTTGCAGTGTTAAGTTCACTATTGACATCGTGGAATAATTGTGGCAGCCCTTCATTTTTTAAAAACACTGATTGGAAATCAAAATTTCAGCATAGAGTAAGTAAATAAGTGAATTACATGATAGGACATAATAGGAATTACATGATTAATAAAAATTATTTCACTCATTTTCACCTAAAGGATCGATTAAACTTAGAAACTGGTTATCAAGAAATAGATTGTCACATAAATGGTGATTATTCTATTGGATGTCGTAAGGAAGGAGATGAAGTTTATATTCCATTTTCATTTATTCATAAATATTTTGAGGTAAATATTAAAATTGCATTTTACTAAATTATAATGAAATAATAATGTTTTTACAACATAATAGATTTATGGAAAGTTAGCAATCTATGATGGCTTAGAAAGATTTGAATGGTTGCATAGTTATTCCAAAATTGTTAATCCTAAAGGGAAATATGATCCTAAAGGAGTATTTATGACCTTTGAGAACTATAATGTTGAAGTTAGAGAACGTGTTAAATGTATCAGTGGAAATGATGGAGTACCAATATCTACTCAGTGGGAAAGTCAAGGCTATTATTATCCTACTCAAATTGCTCAATTTGGACTATCACATTATAGTAAAAATTTAACAGAACCAGAGCCTCACAGAAAAATTATTGAAGATTCTGATAAAGTTAAAAGAGAATGGATAATACCTCAAGGATCTATTGCATCTAGAGTATTTGATAAACATGCTAACAGTCATGTGATGAAGTTTGCAACACCAGAAACTAGTACTTCTGGAATCATCCTAAAATTAGATCATGTGTTAGATTTTGTATTAAAGTGGGATTTTAATATTAAAGACAATGCAACTATTATGATCACACTGCAGTCCAGGGAGAGAAAAGAGATATATTATCTTCATTATGTTACTAGCAACATAGTTTTATATACTTATAACAATCACGTTTATTATGGAATTGGTCAAATTAATCATCAGTGGAGACGATTTACTAGAGACTTGGTTATAGATTTACAAAAAGGTTTATACTTAAATGACAAAAATAAAAAGAAATTGTCTCGTTCAAAATTGAAGGTAATATATAATCTTAAAATTTTTTAAAAGCATTTATTTATTCAAACTTTTATTTTTTTAACACATTATGTTTTAATAAATTTATAACAGTGCGCTCATTTATTTAAACAAATTTTGGTTCACTACAGATGGTAAAAATAACTTTGTATGGATCAGGAATGATTGATAATGTAACATTATCTACAAGTGAACATATGGAACAATTTTATGATGCAGCTAGATGGTTTGTTGCTAACCAAAACATTACTTCGGGTGGATGGGCAAACCCTGTTAGGAGAAAAGTTGCTCCTGGGATGGCTACACTTGAGCCTGGATGGTACATTCATAAATTAGTCACTTTTTTCAACGACTGTTGATATAATTATTTAAATATTTATTTTCTTAACAATAACCATAGGTATTCTAGTATGGGTCAAGGGCATGCAATTTCGGTATTAGCACGGGCGTATTATCATTCTGGTGAAGAAAAGTATCTTCAAGCTGCAGTAAGAGGCTTGCAGCCTTTTAGATTATCCTCTAGTAAAGGAGGAGTAGCTGCAGTATTTTTAGGTAAATATGTATGGTATGAAGAATACCCTACAACACCTTCTTCTTTCATACTTAATGGATTTATTTATTCTTTGATTGGTTTGTATGACTTAAAAAGCATAGCGACAGGTAAAGATGTGGAAGAAGCATCTCGTCTTTTTAATCAGGGTATGACATCTTTGAAAAATATGTTAACATTGTATGATACTGGTTCGGGTACGACATATGATTTACGTCATTTTACATTAAAAACCGCTCCAAATTTAGCTAGGTGGGATTATCATTCCACTCATGTTAATCAGATCCTTCTTCTAAATTCAATCGACAATGATCCAATTTTTACCGCTACCGCAGAACGATGGATAGGTTACATGAATGGTAAGAGAGCTGCACATAATTAATATGCATTTTTTGAATGATCGACTGACTTTTGCATTTATCACTTTATTTCTTATTCATGGACAATTAACATTTCATTTTTTCCTCTTCATTTCATATCGTACATTTTGTAAATAATTTCGAATAGTCACAGAATAAAGTGGACCAAAATATACTTATCTTTTTGTGTAATTGTTATTACACGAAAACAGTAACAATCAAATTTCTTACATTTGTTCTTAATTCATCGTTTGCCTGTATCTGTTAAATATAAATGCATGAGTGAACATAAATGCATGATATTACAGAATACCTATGTACATATGTATGTACTTGGTTATCTGACATAGTAAAACATAGAATCTAATATTCTATAGTGAAATTGCAATTAAATGCTAATGTATTATTATATTTCAAAGTAGCTTATTTAATTTCACCAGAAACTATATACAATAAAATTCTGTTTTGATGACTTAGTAATTTAAAGTTTACATTAAGAAAAGGCATCCATGAACAAAATTTGTAGAAAACTTAATTAAGAAGTTCATAGAACAATTTATGTAATTTTGTTACATACAAATTTAGTACTTAAGTAATTAAAGAAGACATAAACTATTTAAGAAAAACTTTAATTGAAACATTAAATAATTAAATTAAAAACATTTTTAAATGTGTTTTATCTAAGAAATAAAGTAAATAAAGTAAATTTCACGTTTGTAATACAGGATTTTTAGGAAAAACAAAGTTTAATATCTTCCGTATATTGTACTACTTT